ATTTTTGCTAATAACAGAATGAAAGCCAATATGTGGCAGAACACATTTAAAGGAATTATGAAATCAACACAACAACATCATCATCAAAAACAACAGCGCACCTGCAATTAATCACTGTGAACGTACTGTCAAACAGCAAAAATGTTACAGGGAGGAAGAGATTCTTCCTTACAGTCACTCAGAATGAGGTTGAACCTTAGAGAACCAGGAACACACACAAGAACAGATGCCAAAAGTGTTTGGCATGGGCCAGTCAACTCAGTAGAGTAGAGGAGTTTATGCTTGCATTTGTGTGTGAGTAGGTTCAAATGGAAGTTACTCAATAAAAACATTCACACTTTGTTATTCTGTGGCGTCTTCTGTAGTCAGTTCACATCTGAAGTGACGTATACTTGAGTAAATAAAGGCTCTTTGTTGGCATTGATGGTTGCCAAGAACCTTTAACATCTTATTGCTACCATTCTATTCCACAAAAGGTTGTTTATACACTCCATGTATTATACGCTCGCAGGGATGCTGGAAGTATGGCACTGAGACGCAGTGTCTCGTTCCCTCGGGGAACCAGGGTTACATGCGTTATTAATTAATAGAGATGTTCCCATTCAGGAACTCGAGCTGTGTCGAAACGCTATGGGAACGAATATGCCCACACCGCCAGACTTACAAATCCCTGTCCAGTGTGGAAGAGCACAGCTAGAGCGACAGAACAGAAGAACCTGGAGTGGCTCGCATATCGAGGCCATAGAACCTGACGAACGTTAAGGGCATGGACCAGCCCGCAGCGTTGCAGATGTCCTGCATAGAAACACCTGCCAGAAAGGCCTTGGAGGCCGCCACACTTCTGGTAGAGTGAGCCTTGACCCCCAAGGGTGAGGGGAGATCAGAGGACTCATAAGAAATGCAAATGACATCCACTATTCACCAGCTGAGGGTCTGTTTAGTAGCGGGAAGACCTGTCTTTGGGGGACCATAGCACACTAGCAGTTGGTCTGCCCTTCAGAACAGGGCAGCTCGCACTGGACACATACAGTTAAGCTTCTGCTGGTCAGGGTCCCAGAAGGGAGGAGGACAGAAGGCCTGGAGTACGACAGGCCGTGGTGTAGAGGAGGGAACTTTAGGTACATAACCCGCTCGAGGGTAGAGAAACGCTTTGGCCAGACCGGGCGCAGAGTCTAGGTAAGAAGGGGCCACTGAGGGGCCGTACTCTCTCCAGAACTCATACAGAAAGGCATACAGACGAAGCCTCAGCCAAGTCTGTACCATAGCGTCCAGTCCAGTATAGAGATGGATGAGTCAGAGAGAACCAGAGGGGTCAGTGCGATGTCTCCTGAGTCGCAAACAGGTCCACCTGAGCCTGGCCAAAAACTCTCCATATCTGCTTCACCACCTCGGGGTGAAGCCTCCATTCCCCGGGCCTCTGCCCCTGCCTCGACAGGATGTCTGCTCCCATATTGAGATGCCCAGGGATGTGAACTACTCTCAGCAAGAGGAGTTTCTCCTGGGACCACACAAGGATCTGGTACGCCAGCCTGTAAAGGGGGCGCGAACGCAGACCTCCCTGGTGGTTAATTTAAAAAACCACCGCTGTGTTGTCGGTGCGCACCAACACATGGCGATCTCTTAGGTCTGGGAGGAAGTGTTTCAATGCTAGAAACATGGCCAGCATCTCCAGACAGTTGAACTCCAGGCAGTTAACAGACCGCGGGCTGAGCGGCCATTCATGACCGCTTACCAACCGGTGAGGGACCCATCCATCGCTAGCATTACGTGGCGACAAGGAGCTCCCAGCACCGGGCCCTGAGACAAGAACCAAGGTTTCCTCCACATGTCTAAGGCACGTAGGCATCGCCGTGTGACCTTGAGCATGTGGAGCGGGTTTCCCCTCGGGGAGGACCCCTTGGTCTTGAGCCACCACTGTAGGGGTCTCATGTACAGCAGGCCAAAAGGTATCACGTTGGACACAGCTGCCATCAGACCCAGCAGTCTTTGAAACTGCTTGACAGTGAGTGACCGGCCTTCTCTCACTCTCGTGACTGTAGTGAGGATTGACTCGATCCGAGCAGGAGACAGACGTGCTTGCATCGTGGTCGAATCCCACACCACTCCCAGATAAGTGATTCTCTGTAGTGGAGAAAGCACACTTTTCTTGCCGTTTAGTCTTAACCCCAGCTCTTTCATGTGAGCGAGAACGACATCTTGATGCCGAACCGCCATCTGCTCTGATTGAGCTAATATCAACCAATCGTCGATGTAGTTGAGTATGCGGATGCCCTGGAGTCGCAGGGGAGCCAGAGCAGCATCCACACACTTTGTGAAAGTGCAGGGTGAGAGTGCAAGGCCGAAGGGAAGAACATGATACTGGTAAGCTTTGCCACCAAAAGCAAACCTCAGGAACTTCCTGTGTTGAGGAAGGATGGAGATATGGAAGTATGCGTCTTTTAGATCGATCGTGACAAACCAGTCCTCGGACCTGATCTGAGACATGCTTGATAGTGAGCATCCTGAACTTCAGTCGCATGACTGAGCGGTTCAATTGACGCAGATCTACAATGGGACGCAACCCTCCATCCTTCTTTGGAATGATGACGTTTTCTTGTTCCATTACCAGAGCCTGCTCAGGGCCCACCAGAGTGGGAATGAAGCCATTGAAATGAGGCGGAGGAGAACTGAATGCGGTAGCCTCTTTCTACAGTGTGTAGGACCCATTGAGACACATTTGGCAGAAGTTTCCACGCTGCCAAATAGTCTACTAAGGGAATCAGTTTCTCGAGACTGACCTCTGGTGTAATCAGAGCAGCTAGCTTGGTGCCTTGAAGCGGCAGACCAGCAGGAGATGGCCGAACTAGCTGCTCTAGAGACCTCCGCAGAGGTTGCGAGCCTCTTAGTACTGCTACGTTTCCGGGCGGTGACTGAGAGAAGCGCTCGCCGGAGACCGCTGCGCCCTGATGCACCGTGGGTGGCGGGGTTGGCAGATCGATCTCCTGAGGGCACTGAGGAGAGACGGGCACCATATGATGAGGTGTATACCGCTCTTCCCCAGAGGGGCTTGCCCTCAGAGTATCCACTGCATGTGCTTTTAAGCTTCCTGGTCGCTACGTCCCCCCGCCCATGACGTCTTGCCCATCCATTGGACTGATTACACACGTGATTCAGAGAGTGGTCACGCTGAAGGTGTTCCCATAGTGTTTCGATGCAGCTCGAGTTCCTGAAGGGGAACCCACTTTCACTCAACTTTCAAAAATAAAGGTACTTACATCAGTGGTTCAATTAAGAATGTTTAATGTCTATAGAACCTTTTCATTCCATGAAAGGTTCTTTAGTGATTTTTTTTTTTGATTTTTTAAATGATAATTTAAAATATATATATTTTTAATGATAATAAAAAAACTTTACTTTTAAAAGTGTTTGAAATCATTATTTTTAAGAGTGTAAGCATTTTTTCTTGTCAACTTTCATTCATATATTTGCTGTTTGCTTAGATGTACAATAGCTTAAAAACACTAAAGATCATCTCTTTAGAAACTGAGAACAAGCATCTCCTCCTCCTTTACCCATAAACAAAAAACAATTGCCGACCATCTTTGGCCATTAAATCCAGAAAGGATTATGGATAAGGCCTCCTTTGTGTCTCCTAAAAAGACCTTTAATGATTATTAAAGTGGACAAAGACAAAGATGATGACGCAGTTTACCATACGTCACGCACTGATAATATCAGAGTCAGCTATAACCTCGGATTCAGCCCATCGATCTTGGAGTCGCTACTGTCACTCAAGGTCTTCTTATCACCCTTATCACCATCCGCTGGATTATCAGAAATCTGTGGGCAAAAAGGGCACCCTGAAAATAAAAAATGACTCATTGGACAGGATGAATCTGCACAAGAAATGATAAAAAAATGTATGTCTTCACATACGTATTAGAAGTGTTGATTTGTGGGCTTGAAAATGTCTACTGGTGTTGGCAGTGAGGTACAAAGATACTGTAAAATTCAGCCTCGCTGGCTGCCGAATGACATTCCTCAGCCCTTGGGTGTTGAAATCAACTTTCCGTTCAAGATCCAACATAAACATTTACCTGTGTGGTAACTGACTGTGAATGAAACACAAGATCATCTTCATGAAGTGCCACTCGAAACAGACTAATCTCCCTCTTCTTTGAGTTTAAAGGGTTCATGACATGAACTCAGGATGAAGGAAAATGTAATTCCTCATTTATATTATATTTATTAGCCTGCTATACTGTAAAAAAGAGCATTTAAAGAAATCAAGCAGCAAAAACGATTCATATTTTAACTTGCAAAGTAAATAGACTCAGCATCAAGCTGCTTTTGATGCAACAGCCAGAAGTCATTTACATAAAATGGATAAAAATTATTTTAAAAATATGATATTTCAAAACAATAATATTTTAGACAGAAGGGAAAAATTAAGCAGCTGGAGCCACTCGAGAAACAGGATGACGGTCTAATGAATGTGTCATCATAGACAGGTTTATGTTTCATAAGTTTTTTTTGTCAGTTCTCCTGTGGTTGTTGTCAGAAATTTCAAGCTAAAACAAGTTTAAAACAAACTCGCAAGTCGTAAAGTGTGATTTGGCAGTGGTTGCTTCTTGCTAACCCAACAGACAGTAGCTGTTGTGGTAGGCCCATTAAATGTCTGAATGGTTTTGCCCTGGCAAAATCCAATTAATGACAAGTTAAAGCTGACAGACAGTTCATTTTCCACACTATTTTGTGGAGTCTGCACCTGTCACAATCTATAATTACTGTGTTTAAGTTTCCACACTTGGCTTTGTAGCCAAATGCAACGACAGCCATTCATAGACGAGCAGCCACATGTGCTAAAACATAAGTGATTTCACCGTGATTAGACACTATTCTACTTTTTAGCATGCATAGTTAGTATGCATACTTGACCACATTGTGTACACCTGCTTAATCAGTCAATTTGGTATTATAGTCACTCCCAGTCTAATGTGGGCACATGGTGAACCCTCCAAACACCTGAGGGCAAATAGACATGAAATTCCATCCTGATGCATGTCGAACGTGGCTGTGATGAAGTAAATCACAAGAACTCCAACTTTGAACTGAGGTGAAACTAAAGACGACCCTATATGGCAGTTTGAAAAGCTTCAGGAACATTCTGACCACAGACTGGACTTGGACAAGCTTTGATCCTCGGATTACGTTTCGCGGAATTGCACTCGCCTGTCAAGTCCAGGTAAAGACCCACTTGCCCACCATGTGGAGTATATATGACACCAAACTACTCGCACATACGGTTACAACCTCGCCTGCTTAAAACTGACAACGAGCATTATTTATTTAACAGAAGATGCTGTGGAAATTTACTTGCATGTTCTTCCTTATGATCACTGTGTGTTCAGCAGCCTGATGCTGATTTGTAAACACATCAGGTACTACTGTATTATCAGAGTGCTTTCCCTTAAAGGGAAAATTCTAGACACGGTGTGACGTTTGATTAGCGTTTAAGGTAAGAGTATCTTTGCGCTAAGACTCCCTGTTGCTTTAGCATGTGCGCTAGCGAGCAAGATGAACCTTTCTGAACCAACAGTCTCAGGCTCACCTGTGTCAGATTATCAGTGTTGCATAAGTACAAAAACAACATTAATGGTGGCTTTTAATGACATTGCTACCAAGATGACCACCACTACATTGTCCGCATGCTGATTAAATTGCTCTAGGACAGGAAGCTAGACCTTACAGAGGATTGTAATGTTTTTTTTTTTGGTAATAGTGACCTTAATGTGGCACAAGTTTTTTTTGTGTGTGTGTGTGTCATTTACCTTTAAGTGCATATATTTATATGCAACAATATTTCTCAACATTTAAAGCATGCAAAAAGCAATGAAAGCCAACAGAATTTTGTATTTAGAGAGTGCTAAACACAACTGAGATTACTGTACTCATATTAATAGCTAAGAGCAAAATCAAATCAAGCCTAAATATTTCAAAAACAAACAGGCAAGGCTTAGGGAATGTGCAGGGCTTCCTGTGGAGTTCTGCCAGTGCAGATTCCTGTTTACACCTGTAGGCCCATTACAAATCATGTGAAGCATACACACCCCAAAATAACTAATAAAGGTGCACAATAAAAAAAAAAAATACTGATCTACAAAGTCAAAACATGGTAACAGCACAATTTGTCAGTTGTTACTGTAAGTTCTTTTAAAGAAACAAAATTGAATTATGTTTGGTACCGTCAATGGTTCTAGTGTATACTTTCCTCTGCCGAAGCATACAGAATACCGTTCTAAAAAACTCTACAGTACGTATTTAATGGTTTAATTAAAAAATAAAGAACTTTTCTTATTTGCAGTGTCCATATATGTGTGTGTACAGTGTATATATATATATATATATATATCCCACAGTTGTTGTTCAGAGAACATTATTTTCTCGGGCGACCTCACTGTGTATTGTTTCTAGTTATATCTGTACCCACAGAAGAATAAATGTATTCAAGTGAGAGGTCTTGTTATCTTACATATTGAAACGGTCTTGTGTCTGAGCATTATGGGATTGGTGCCGGCATTGTTCTTACTCCATTGTGTCTCTTTGTGTGGCACTATTTGAAAGGCAGTAGTAGCTGTGCATGCTGAAGTGTATATACACTTGAATAGACTGATTAATTTTCTGCCTAATTGCCTTTGAAATATTATATAACATAGTGGCTCTATAGTGTACTGACTTTATTTTCAGACATGGCTCTTGACAACAACAAGACTCTTTTGAAAGAGGCAAATGGAAAACCCCCACTGCAGGCTCGATGTGATTTCAGTGCCGCTTAACACGGCGAGCTAACATTCCCCAGCGGGCTCTGACCGCCGTGTTATCTGTCTCTTGTGTTGTAGCAGTATTGCTTAACAACTCTCGTATGGTATTTGGCCCTTATCTCAATGGGCAATCTAACCCTGCGGAGAGAGCACTCTGCTCCGCTCTCACAGCAGCCCAGCAGGTAAGCTGAACCCCCGGGCCTTGAGTTACGCTGCACTCCCTGGCTCGCTTTTCAGGTCAGTGGTCTGCGCTGTCAGTTCGGGCGTACAAAGAGCACAAGGGAGGCCCTGTCTGCAACCCCTCGATGGTTTGGACCTGGCGAGAACTCCCTGGTGTTTGCGTGAATGCCGTGGTCGGGTCCGTTTGAACAGAAACACTTTAAAAGACAAAAGCGAGAGGGAAGAGTTGACTGAAAGCAGCGTGGATGCTTAAGAGACTTCATGTAAAAGGGAGGAGAAGCAGTACGGGACCCAGAGGAAGAGAAACAGTGCTGCAAAGACTCAACACTTCCACAGGATACAAGACAGGGAGAGAGGAGGAAAGACCACCAGTGAACGCCTAAGTGTGAGAACGAAGTAAATAAAATTTGGGAAGCAGGAACTGGGAGGTCCCATCCACCACGATTTCCACAGCCGAGTTGCATCACGACACTCTTTGAACTTCAATAATCTAACTTCAATACAATAAATATGTAGGTTATTTATTGACATCTATACTTCTGTCCATAAAGAACCTTTAACATCCATGGAATCTTTCCATTTCGCAAAAGGTTCTTATAGTGGAAAAAGGTGTAGATTTTTCAAATGTTCTTCACACTAAGGAAAAAATGGTTCATTGTAGAATGGTTCACTGAAAGGTTCTTTGCTTCTCCACTCTTAAAAATAAAGGTTCTTTATAGTGGAAAAGGTTCTTTAGATTTTCAAATGTCCTTCAAACTAAGAAAAAAATTTTCTGTTCACTTCAAAGTTTTTTGGCAACCCAAAAATGATTCCTCACTTTTAAAAATTGAGGTCCCTTATGTTCATTGATGGTTCCATGAAGAACTTTTAACATCTATGAAAACTTTCTATTCCACAAAAGTTTCTTTGTAGTGGAAAAGTGTTCTTTAGATTTTTTAAATGTTCTTTATGCATGCTTCAATGTTCTTCCTCAGGTTCTTTGGAGTACCGAAAATGGTTCTTCTATGGCATTACTGTGAAAACCCCCTTTTGGAACCTTCCTTTTGAAGAAAAGATTGTTCAGGTTATTAAAGTTTTCTTCATGTTAAGTAAAACATGGTTCTTTTTTATAATTGTTCATTGAAAGATTCTTTGGGGGAACCAAAAATGGTTCTTCTATGGCGAAACCCCCTTTTTATTTTTAAGAGCGCACAATATGTTTCTGCACATTATCAACTTGTTTATTTGCTGTCGCCATATTTGTTCATTTGTGTTTGGGGTTGGTTGGGGTGACGGTTGCAGTCGGGCAGAAACTTGATCTGACCTACACCAACAGCAGTGCTCCCTCCACCCCTCCTCTTTCTTTCAATCTCCCTGATACGTCTCTCCCACCTTCCCCTCTAGCCATGGCTTACTATGACGAGGGGCAGAGATCAACGCCCTGATGGCCTCGGAGCCAGGTGGGAGACACCCCATCTATCACGAGAAAGTGACTTTTGTGATTCCACAACGGGACTGTAAACAACAGACTCATTGTAGGTGCAGGTGCTGAATGCTGGGACTAAAAGACGAAAGTGGACAAGGAAGGAATGTGTAGAAAAGTACCTGAAACATTAACTTCACTGCCTATTGTTTATGTTTGTTCAACCTTAGTCCATATACTGTATGTCAAATAAATCACTGCTCAGTGGCCTTATATATGAGTAAATCAAGTTATGTAATGGCTTCGCAGGAATCCTTTATTGAATGCTCAACAAGCATAAAGCACCCGCACAAGGAAATCAGATCTTTTAACACATAAATCACTCTATACTTCTCAATTACTCATCCATGTAATTCCTAAAATCTCTTTCCGAGTACTGTACATACAAAATGAACGTAGTGCAAATAGACCATCACACTTGTAAATGCAAGTATATAAATATTTAATTTGGCAACACGTTCGCTTTTGCATGGGCCACATAATTTATTGGTGACTTAAAGACACTCAAACAGCTGCTGTTTTGATACACTCGGTTACAGAGCTGTCTGCGCAGAGATTTACTCAAAAGGTTCCCCGTCATTAAAGGGAATAAAAAGCCTACTTACAAGAGGGAACTCTTTTAACGAACCACAGGTGCCGGCATTGTTCTTACTCCATTGTGTCTCTTTGTGTGGCACTATTTGAAAGGCAGTAGTAGCTGTGTATGCTGAAGTTAGCAGAACCCGCTGTATGCCAGTAAGGTGTGCCCTGCATTCCTCTCAAACAAAACACATACACACACCACCTGGCCCAACCTGAGCGCTACCGATTCACTCGTTTGTAAAACATTTTGTACAACTTTAAAGCTGAGTCAGTATTGGGCAGCATGAGAAGAAGGAGCATTGGCTCTTGTGTACCTGGTGATAGATAACAAGAGCTCTGGAGTCTCTGCATAGGTTGAATCATCATTAATTGTATGAAGCATCTTCAAAAAGGTAGTTGCATCACTGCAGGGAATAACTTTAAAAGAGAAAAATCATAATCGAAATATAAAAGCAATGATACATGGGAAGAAAAAAGGATTTTTTAAATTAAATGATGATGGTAAGCATGGTGCTTCAATGTGGCCGAGACATAACATTTAAAGCAAAGACAGTATGAAATGCATGTAAAATAATAGAAAACAGACATATTATTGATAGATTTTTCAATAAAAAAGCAGAAATTGCATTAAATGGACAAGCCTGACACAGGAATTTAATATAATATGGTACTGAAAAATGTCAGAAAATTAACAAGGTAGATTGCAACCCCATTTGCTGCCACTTGTGGCACAGAAATGATACAATTCACCAACATAGTTGAAACTATTCCTGTTACACTTGCACAAATGGTGTCAGTGCAGTGTCATTTCATAGAAACTGAGCTTGCTATGGTCACACCATTTGTGATTACCAAATGGAAACTGGTTAATATTATTAACATCCAGTTCTGGTTCTATTGCTGAGACTTTACATGTTGCATTCCTTGAATGAAAAAGAAGTGTTCCTGAAAGGCTGTAAATAGCAGTGACGGGATGAATTTCCGGTCTTTTTGATAGCATCAATGTTCCATCAATGGAATCTTCCTCTTGGACTGGTTTAAAAGAAGATGACTTCATTTGTGAAATATCCCTAGTATGCCCTCTTTCAGCAACTGATGACTTCATTTGATTTTCACAAATCAGCTTCCTGAACTTCTACAACTTCCGGGGGCGCAACCGATTGTGTTGTGATTATGTGTATTGACAGAGAACATCATTAAGGAAGATTTGTCCTGACTGAGACACGTGACAACATTATAACCCTTTATTTTGGTTAAAAACATCTCTCTTTGACTCTTACATTCAAATCTGATGTTCCATAGCCATTCAAAAAGAGGAAGAAACACAAAAATTCACCTTTTACCAGGAAGTTCACACCAGGTATTAACAGGTAAGATGCACTTTTTAGCTCCTGGGTGGCTTGCTAAAACATTGGGTTTTGCACAAGGGTTGAAGGTTTTGAAGGTAATTTTACTGCTCTAGAGAGTCACATGGCATTTACGGGTCAAAAAAATTTCATTTTCAAAAAAGTTTCATTTTCTAGTTTAAACTATGAATGTGGATCACCTAGTGACCATGACAGTTCAGAGCAAAAAAAGAAAGAAAGATGAAAATGACAAGATATCTTACATTCTTGTATTTGCATTGATTGTCCCAGTGTGTCTGTTGCTCTGCAAAGGTTAAGGTGGTTTATTGAGTTTCTCAAGATACCTATATGTCATCTTTGAAATTCTCAAGACCTCAAGACGTCATCCTACACAAACATCTCCAACAAAGAGTCAACTAACATTAGAAAAGGGTGGATTATAGAGGATTGATGATTGTTTCCTGTCACACCTACCCTGCCCATTGTAAAATCACTCGTATTCTCAATCTACTCTTATAATTTGCTTATACTATGACAATTTCAACTTATTTCAACGACTGGGTCACGCCGAATGCCCGTGAGCGCAAACTGTGCATTAAATTTTACAACTTTTTTTTTTTCAGTTGACAGCCATATCTAGTTATTAGGATCTTTCAAATATGTTTTTACAGAGCAGATGAGAAAGTATGCCATTTATTTCTCTTCGTTGGAGGTTTCTTTTGTTGCCAAACAAATATGAAGAATAAAATCTCCAGTAACAGGTTGTTTTGCCAAATTTCTGTCAAATAGATCTTCATAGGAGACGTCTCATAAATAGTTTATCACAAAAAGTCTAATAACATAACATGTAGAACAGTACACTCTTAAAAATAAAGGTTCTTTATTGGAATCTATGGTTCCATGAAAAACCTTTAACATCCATGGAAACTTTCAAGGGTCTTTATAGTGGAAAAGGGATCTGTAGATGAATAAGAAACACTAAGAAAACAGAAAGGTTCTTTGGGGAAGCCAAAATGTTTCTATGGCATCACTGCGAAAACCATCTTTTGGAACATTTATTTTTTAAGAATGTAGATAAAGTAAAATTAATATTAATATAATTCAAATCAACTTTGAATTTACATGCGTTTACATTTAATGCTGAACTGGTCATTAGTTAATTTACAGTAAAATGCGTGTTAATGTTGTTATTAAACTTATTAGACTTACAAATGCTTGACTAACTAAGGAGAACGGCATCACTTTGGACTAAGCACAGCAACCCTATAAAAGCCATCTGTGCTGGATGTGCACAGGAGAGTAGAAGATTATGCTTGTTGCGGTAAAGAGAGAAAGAGAGAGAGAGAAAGAGAGCGAGAGAGAGAGATCTGCGCGCTGTACTCGCCAGTAAGACTCTCAGCACGCAACGCGCGCTTTCTATCTGGAAACTTTCAAAAAGGATTCGTTATAAACTCATCACCTTCATGTCGGAACTGCTGAATATTTCCTCACCGATGCTATGGTTACCTTTATTACGGTATGTATCTTTAGAAAGTTTGTTTGTTCGAACTGCTTCCATGGATCGTTCGATGGCAATCTGGAGGGCTCTTGGCACGGTGGCGCATTTGCTCTTGTTCTCCAGGACAGCTTCTGTGCGATTAAACCATTGAAAAAGATCACACAGCGAATATTTGCTCGTAAAACAACACATTTTGTGGCAGAAACAACTGCGTAATTTGCATTATTGCTCCATAACATTAGCGTTAACGTGTCTGAGGAACTTTCTACGCATATGTGTATTTTGGGAAGAATGTAACTGCTCAGAGCCTCGGGCTGAACTGAAAACCAGTAAGGGCAAATTCTCTTCTTACCTTTCAAAGTGCTCTTCTCTTTATGCACAAAACAACAGATTGCCGAGACAACTCTTTTTTTATTATTATTTGCGAGGTCTTCTAACTATAAATTAAGGTGTCTAGATCTGTCTATAACTAGCCTACATGTAACTGTAAATGCAAGCTTAACTTTACATCTCTCCAAATATAGAAATATTTTTGAGAATATAAAAGGCTCAAATGCAGTAATTTGAAAAGTTGCTCGACTTTAACTGATAAGACAACATAAAAACTTAAATGCAAGACTATAAAATATACTTAGATGTTGTCTAAACACTTTGCTCTTGGGTCTTTCCTCCAAGAGCTGGCTGAGATTGGCAGACAATCCCTAAAATAGATAATCCACACAAATCTGTGCTGGAGATGCCAGTGCTGTCGAAGCCCTTGAAGTTTTTCGGTGGGTTAAAGTTAGTGCTCTTCCTGTTCATCAACTGGAAGTTGCATGCATATTTTTTTCCCCACTTGTGTTTTGATAACCCTGTATGTGTGTGTTTCTGCTTATGATTCCCTGCTGTGTGTGTCGGGGGAAATCTTGTGCAGACATGCTCCTGAAACAAGCATCTGTCAAATAAAGGATTTGACATGAGGCATCCACTGACGGGGAGGCTAAAGGGTTAATGCAAATCATTTAGATTTACTGGTGAACATGTGTCAAAAGAAATATGGAACCTGACTGAGGACTTTGAGGACTTTTCTCTAAACTGAAATCATCACAGAGATGAATAAATCACACAAAATCAGAATTTCCTACTATTTTGATGATTTGTAAAGAAAAGTATTTATTTATTCTGAGTGAAAACTGAAGTACAGGTTTCTTTATTAAGTGTATGTGAATAAATACACGACACATTATATAAAAAAAAAAGAAAAAAGAAAATCGAAATAAAATTTTCTAAATTTGCAATTGTATCTATTTTCAGAATACTGGCTTAACCAGGCCTGGTGACATTGCACACCTTGTACACAATAGGTGTTTTAGTTCACTAGCTAACATGATAACCAATTCACTTATGTGATTTTCTCAATTATTGCGGCTTTGAAACACTTCCAGGCTTTACAGTAGTTTGAGTTCATCTGCATGGCTCTGAAAACTGTAGTGGTAAATGTTCGGCCAGTTGCAGTGCATCCTTATTTTTCTGGGCAACTATCTGCCACTTCAAAATGGAAACAGCAAAAAATGTTGGCTGGCCATCAGGGGATCTCATCAACTTTATCATGGGTCACTCATACCCAAAAACTATCTCAGTCTCTTTTTTTGGTCACCATGTTTAAACTGTGGGAAATTCACAACGGTGACCATATATGGATCGTCTCATTATAGAATACTTTATTTATGCCAAATCATGCATATAGATAGAGCATGAAATTATATTTTTCATCTTGATAAACGCGTCTCGGCTGTTTTCATATTTCAAAAAGTATGCTTCGCTAACAGGTTACAAAGTCTAAGCTGTCAGTACACTTCACTGACAAACCCATCATCAAAATGACAGATGGCAGCCAGGCCGAAATACATCATTTATCAAGGCCAGGTTCAAAGAAATGAAGCACTTCTTAGTAACTCTTCATTTTGCACACTATGGATTATTGTACAGAAAACAAAACCTATAGTTATAGCTAATGATAGCGCAACAATACTGCACAGCTTAACAGCGCAGAATTTGTAAAAGTGTTTCCATTCTTTTCTGTCACGTTTACCTTATCAGCGCAGCATTGACATTGTGTGACATGGTACACGGAAGCATGGCATGCTGGGTATTCTAATACGTTCATACTTGTGCTTTTACTTGCACTGTTCCAGTTTACTAAGTGGCTAGAAGAGCAAATGCCATACCAGAATTTGACTGCATTTCCATATGTGGCTATAGTTTTGCTAATAGTGAGAATCCTAAGCAGAGCATCCATCTTTATACCAAAGAGAGATATTGCTTCAGATAAATCATGAAATGAAACAATACTATCTCCAATAAAATAATTAGTAATTAGTGCCAGAAATGTTCAGCGCATGCCAACCCAGCTAACAAAAATATATTTTAGGAACAATTTAGAAAAAATAGTTTTTTTCTGAATGTTCTCTGAACGTTCAAAACCAGTTTTTTTAAATGCATTTTTTCTTGGTTATACAAACATTCCATTTTATCATTTTGCAAACATTATCAGAATGTTACTTTTGAATGTTCTCTGAATATTCTAAACATTCTCTATATCTGAACATTCATTTTTAGAATATTATTAAAGACTAGTTAACTTTTAACAAACATTCTATTAACGATGCTGGAAGAATGTCTGTTCATAACTTCGAGAGAACCTTGCCAGGATGTTTTGAGAATGCTCTCTGTTAGCTGGGAAGATTGTGGTTGATATGCTGTGGTTGCTGTCTAAACAGTCATCATTTTAAAACCACACACTCATCACAATATCCATATTATGGATATTGCAGTCAGGAGCTAATTTGTGTATGTGTGTGTGTTTTTTATTTTATTTATTTATTTATTTTTTACCATGAAAACTATACTTGATTTAATCAAATTTAAAATAGGAACAAAATAAGAGCCATTTTTCTTAAAAATAAATTTGGACTTGATTGAAAACCCTTTTTGTCTCGTCTTAAGTGTGCCTGAGCATACCCAGAATACTTTAGTTTCTCCAAAAGGCTTCTAACATTTGTTCTGGAAGTGCTATGAGTTGATATGCATTAAGCCGTGGTAGAAATATCAACCCTTCTGAGTGGGAAGTAACTGCACCTTTTGTAGTTTGTATCCTTGACAAAGTATTGCTGTCAGCTGCCAAACACCCATCTATCACATTACATTGAAACGACCAACATGATCATGTTACAAACTCCAAGATGTGTTAATTACACTAACGGTTGTGTTTGGCAGTGCCATGTCAAACAGAGAGCTTGTTCTGTGTTTATTTTTCTATAAAAGTCAGGCTAATCGCTAATGACTCCCAGACTTCACACTAATAGTCTAAAATCTTTTTTATAGCACCATGCTTTAATGAAGACACCTGACTTTTTTGTACTTTTAATTGCATTAAATTCAGCAGTCACCAGAAAAATCATTGATTTCTGTTTTGATGCTATGGAAGGCCATTTGTTGGAAGAAAATGATGTAATAAAAACTTAAATAAATAAATAGTGCCAAAACAGGAAAGCATTGGCAGTCAAAATTTGATATGCACATTTTTCGCTTTTGTCCTATTAATTTAGACTTGTCATAGAATATACCATTCAGTGCATTGGCTGATAATCAGAACTTAGAAGTTGTAATGCTATGGAAGGCCATTTGTTTGAACAAAATATTGACTATTATTTTTCTGTTAAATCCTAGCAGGGAACGTTCTTCAGGGAACTTTTACTAACATTTTTTTAAATGTTAGAACAAAAAGTTATAGAGCATTCTTATCCCTTTTTAAATATTTGATATATGCTCTTATAACGTTGAGTGAAAACATTCTTAGAACAACATTCTCAGGGACGTCCTCATAATGTTATTTATACTTGATGAAGGTTCTCAAAATGTTGAGAGAAAACATGCTTAGAACATTAAATATAACATTCAAATAACATTTTGGGTAAGGTTTTAGAAACCTTTAAATAATGTTCTAATCTTAACAAGAAAACGTCTCAGGTTACGTATGTAACCATGGTTCCCTGAGGGGAACGAGACACTGCGTCCTCTAGGGGTCTCTATGGGGGAACGCCTCGTCGTGACCCGTGTCTGAAGCATACATTGAAATAACACCAACTCATTGGCCGGCGACAGCCATGATGTCATTTGAAGGGGCACGGATGGCAAGGAGGGAGTTTTGAGAGATGACGTCTCCCCCATAGAGAGGTAGCTGGCTAGCGTTTCTTCTACCGGGGGCATCCTCTCATAGCCGCTTTCGCGCATCGCCTCGATGTTCGCGTAACTCGCACGCTGAAATCGACGGACGCGTGAGGAAAACGGCCTCTCCCATTCCTTCTCGATCTCAGCATGTAGATCAGGGAGGAAAGGAAGGCTCACCTGGGCTGGAGGGTTATGGCCAGACAGATAACGCTCATCGAAACGACCTCGCGGCGTTACCTCCTCAGCCCACGACCCCTAGAGGACGCAGTTCGAAGTTCCACGAAAGGGAACTGGTCTTTTAACATTCTTAGAAACGAAAAAAAAACAAACGTTCAAATAACATTATATTTTGAGTGAAAAAATTAAATGTTTTCGGAACCTTTAAATAATGTTCTAATCATGACAAGAAAACTGGACATTTGAACACTCTTAGAATATAAAAAATAAACATTCAAATAATGTTATATTTTTGTTGAAAATAAAGTTAGTAGAACGTTGTGAGAAATATTTTAGGAACCTTTAAATAATGTTCTAATTCTGACAAGAAAGCTGGACATTTTAACGTTCTTAGAATATTTAGATACTTTACTTTACAACCATTTCAAAACAATGTTCCCACAATGTTTTTATAACCTAAATATTTTACCTGGGATGCTGCTTGTGAGACCAAGATGATAACTAAAACTATAAAAGTCTTAAATCTTAAGGAATTTACACCTTTACTGGTGTTATAATCGCTCAAATAGTGCCAAAAATGAAGGCATTGGCTGCCAAAACTTCAGTTTTGTCATATTAACTTACACTTGTCA